GAGCTGCCTCCCTCTGTGACCTCAGAGCCCTGTGGCTGTCTCTGAAGGCCCTGTCCATATCCTTCCTTCAGATGGCTACTCATCTCCCCTCTCGGGCTCCCTAAGGACAGAGATCTGTGTCATGGGTCTCAGAAAATCCCAATAGGCTCCACAAGTGACTAAACAAGGGCTTTCCCATGCATGGTGGCTCTAGTTAAGGACAGGGAAATGCTCAACGCTCTGAAGAAGCCAAGGGCAGCTTAACAATGCCCCTCAGAGCCCAGAAAGGCCCCAAGAGCAGCCCCAGTAATGAGACAGGTTCACATGAAACTGGCCTTAAAGAGACATCATCACCCTGGAACCCCAGAGGCCCTCACTGCACATGGAGAACTGAATTCTCCTCAAGACAGGCAAGGGGAGGGGGCCTGATCCTGAGCTGTGGGCAATGGGGAGATGGGGCTGGAAAAGGAGCACTGAACTGGGAGTCCCGGGGCTTGGGTCCCTCTGTCACCAACTGGCCTGGCTTCCCAAAAAAAACCCTGACAATACCTCTTGGGATGTTCTTGAGACTCTGATGCTGTTTATTGTCTGGCTTGGGGACACACCAACCGGCTAGGTCAGAATGCCTTCCTTTCATGAAGCTGCCTCCCCATCTCCCAGGTTTCATGGGCTGCTCACTGGTTTAGTAAAATGGGCTCTGAGTAGTAAGTTTCCATTCCCAGTAGTCACTTTACTCTGTGGACGTGGAGCTCCACCAAAGGAAGACTCTTCACAATACGAAGTGCCTGGCTCGGCGCCTGTGGCTCAAGTAGCTAAGGCGCCAGCCACATACACCTAAGGTGGCGGGTTCCAATCCAGCTCGGGCCCGCCAAACAACGACAGCTGCAACCAAAAAATAGCCAGGCATTGTGGTGGGCACCTGTGGTCCCAGCTACTTGGGAGGCTGAGGCAGGAGACTCGCTTGAGCCCAGGAGTTGGAGGTTGCTGTGAGCTGTGGTGCCACGGAACTCTACCCAGGGGGACAGCGTGAGGCTCTGTCTCAAAAAAAAAAAAAAAAAAAATGAAGTGCCCCATAAAGAACAGGGCTCACAGGGCAGTAGTGAGCTCCTTGTCACTGAGGTAAGGTGGAAGCTGGATGTCTCGCTGACAGCCTGCCAGTTAAACCAGCCTCCTCACTTGGTTCTGAAGTTCTAGGGTTCCAGGATTCTTGGGCTCCTCCCAGCTTCCAACTTTGAGGATTGAAGCAGAACTAGACCCTCCCTGGCTTCCACTAGGGCATTCCTGGCCTTAGGACACAAAGATGGTGCTGTTCCCTGTTCTGAGGGTGCTATGATGGGAGACGATGGGCCTCTGACTCAGCAGTGGGGTGGGGGTGGATGACGGGCAGAGGTACCTACACTCCCACAGAGGAGGGGAGGCCTAGGCTTCTCACAGACTTCCCAGCACCGAAGAGAATTCATACCAAGGTTCTGTCTCCCATCTGGGCTCTCGGTGGCTTGGCTCCTGTGTTGGTGGCCCCCTTGGCTGGCAGCCTGGCCAGAGCTGTCTGCAGCTGAAAAAGCAAATCTTGTGCTTAATATTTAATTCTGCTCAGCAATTGACCAGCACAAGGGAAGTGCTCTGGTGCTGTGGGTGTGTGGTTACCTATCATGGTGGTGTGTCCTTTTATTTACTTTAAGATCACTAATGGAAGAATTTTCCTTTATAGACTGTTCTGGGATGGGAGAGGGTTTCATTGTCAGTCCCACTCTCCAACTGCACTGTAAGAGCAGCCCAAGGATTCACTAACAGTTTAATAAATAATGCTGTAGCCATAATCTGTCTCCTGGAGTCCTAACAACAGCCTAGGAGTTGGAAAATAAAGGAATTATGCATTTTAGGTTACAGGGGAAGAGACAGCGTCAGAGAAACTGAGAGGCTTAATGGAGGGCAACAGAACTGAATCTGAAATCCAGTGTCTCCACACACTATGTGACTTGAGAAAGCTTCTTAGCCTTCCAGCCTCAGCGTGTCCAGCTACATAAGGAGACTCTAGGCAGGTTCCTTCTGGAAGAAGGAGTCCTGGAGTCCCTTCCAGAGGAAGAATGACCAAGGCCCTCACTTCCCCCTCCAGCTCCTGGATGCGATTGGTCAGCTGCTTCATTCTGGTTTTTGTACTCTCTGACTCTGCCACCAGCACTCGGTTCTTTTTTGACAGCTCGACAATTTTGGTGGCAACCAAATCACCAGCCATACCAGCTGTCCCTAAAATGAAAGAAACACTGAGGTCAATTACAAACACAGGCCCACATATCACACTCATGCCCATGCTACCAATAGCACTGGGGATTTACAAGCTAAAGCTGCTTGGTGTAGACACTCAGGAAGGGGCAGAGGCACAGGAGAGTCGCCATACACCTAGGATCCCTGGGACTCAACTCTGATGAGTAGAAATGCAGCTACTCAGAGGTTTAATATGTTCTAGGAACATTATAAAACCAGAAAGCAGACTTTTAATTCAGTGGGAGGCAGGTTTAATGCTCCAATGCTTCATGCCATCCCCAGGGATAGGGTTACATATCCTACACCCTTTCATTTTGCTGTGCCCTCCAGTGAGTAGGGTGTAGGCCCCTCAACCTTTCTATGCCTGCCCGACTCTGGGCTCAGCCTTGTGACTTGCTTTGGCCAATGTCATGCTAACAGATAAAGTACAGGTAGGGGCTTGAAAAGCACCTGTGCAGTTAAACCCATTGTGTTTGCGCATGCCCTTTCCACAAGAAGCACATATCCAGGGCAGCTGGCTGAAAGAAGGAAGAAGGGGTGAGGAGGGAGGAGGGAAGAAGAGCAGGGAGGAGGCGGAGGAACAAAGCTGAACCACCCCAGCCAAGCCTGCCCTTCATTAGCCAATCTCCAATCATCCCCCAGATATTTAAGCAAACTAAATGCTTATTGCTGAATGCTGCCGAGATTATGCAGCTGTTTCCTATAGAGAAGTTTGTGGTAACACCTAGCCAATGAAAATGAATACATTCATTTAGCAAATACTTACTAAATTTCTACCAACTGCTGGACATTCTCAGTGTTAGGAATTCAGTG